CTCTGGTTCCTGCTCCTGTGGAAGGTGCCGATAAGAAGTGAACTTCAACCCACGGTTCATCGAGTCGATTTCCAAATAAAATTGATTGACGAAATTACTTTTTTTGTTCAAATTTTTCCCTCAATATTTTTCTTCTTCTTCTAATGTTCGCTTGTTCTCTTGTGCATTTGAACATTACATCATTTCAAATTTCTTGGGTATGAACAACTTGAGAATATGCCTCATATGAGAATGAACCATGTAAAAAGGTTTTTAAAAAAAAGAGAAACACACTCAAATAATAAAAACCAGATTTTTTGCTAATTTTACAAGGAAGGTTTCGGTGAGGAAGATAAGAACTTGCTAATTTTAATTTTGATTAATAGTTCTGTAAAAATATTACCTGGAAGTTGAATACTATAATACCGCACAACCTTCTTTTTTAGCAGCTATTAGACATTTTTAAAAATTTCCCTTCCGTTTTTTGTTTTTTTTATTTCAGGTAGCCGGTCAAAAATGAGCAAAATTTGTCGAAAGGGGCTTTCTCCTAAATTTCTCGGCTTTTTAATTCCAAAGAGATATCAAACAGGTTACCAAAAAAATAAAGGAAAAGAATTACACAAAAATTTAAAACTCACATTTGACAAGTTGTAGAGTCACACTGAGGTGATTTCACAAATTTTAGGGCTATACTCGCTACAACTTACTCTCAACCTCAAGCTACAATGATTGCCATTGTTTAGTCTGATTATCCTTTTTTTTTAAATTACAAAGCGGGCAAGTTTTTCAACCATTTTCACCATTTGGTAAAATCTCAGTTTTATGAATGGTTCCTACCAAAAAAAAAATCAAGTTATTGTGCTGGGAAGAAAATGGCTAATTGCGAAGAAAATTGGAACTTGAGTAACATTTTGAAGATTTTGAGTTACGAGGATTTTAGGTTTAAAAAGTTTCAAGCGGCAAGTAATCTTACAAAACGTCAATACTGCTGTTGCAGGACACAAAATTGAGTTTTCTCTTTGATTTCCGAAATAAAAGTTGTCGAATAAGCTCTAGCTTACATAAGCTCTTCTTAAAGTGATAAAAATGCCATTGTTTCATAACATGATATGTTCAAATCTGACCAGCCCGTCAAAAGACATACATTTTTTTTATAAAATATATATATGATTGCGGGTAACAAGACGAGGAAGCAAACATTCACCAAGAAAGGCTGGAAACACGGTAGCCTTTTTCAGCAATTTAAAATAGAATTAAAACCTAGTAGTAAATTGTACTTCTCCAAACAAGACGGATAAAGATGTTCGCGTTTGAAAAAGTACAATCTACTACTAAGTTTTAAATTTTTAAATGTTTTTAAATACTTTATCCAACTGAAGAATGCTAAGGTGTTTCCAGCCGAAACAGCTTGGTGAATGTGTTCTATTCTAGCCATGTTACCCTACTTTCAGTTGTATTGTCATGGGAACGGAGTTCCCCATGATATTAGAATCGTTCCGTTGCTTTCGCTATGGGATTCCCTATACCTCTGCGACCTTGAGCGTTTCGCCCAGTCTCCGATTTTTGGTTGATTTTCCGATGTATCAAAAACCGTTGTATTTTTTAGCCAATCATGTCTCTACGTCAAGTTGTGTTGATTGCTAAAATTCGCTTTCAGCGAGTTTTTTTCCACCTTGAGATGTCGTGTCTGACTGGTAAATCTGCGCAGAACCACGAAGTTCCGTTTTTAGGCAAATTCTTTTTTTTGGGAGGTTCTGATTGGTTATTTTTCGCCATCAGTTTTCTGTTCGTTGGTGCAAAAGATCGCCTACCTCGGTGTTCTTGAGAAGCCGCCATTATCCCACCTCAAATTTGAAAAATAGAAGTAAAGAAATAATAACCATCGTACAAGGTGGAAAATTGTTCTGGAGGACTCGTTACGGATAAAGAAGTCAAAATCAGAGCTCGATTGATTGATTTAATTCATGGATACGCAAATATTGCCTTAGCTCAACTGCCGCGATCGGAATGCGTGCTGGCATGAACCTCGAGACGCATTAAAACAGTGCGAACCATGGCTCCTACAGCAAAACAGCAATGCGCTTCATATCATCCCAAAAGCAGTCAAGGTCTCTTGTGATAAGTCCCGCCCATTGCCCGAGTCTTTTGTATGCTATTTTTACTCTCGCCCACGTGGATCCATTATAGCCTAGTTGACTAAACCGCCTCGTATTTTTGATTCGGTGCGGGCACCCGGCGATCGGGAGTTCGATACCCGACGATGGGAACTACTTTTTAATGGTTGTATTGAATGTTTTAGACTAATCATCAAAAAATAATTAATAGTAGATGATAAATGTACGAACATTTTCTCGTGAGTTAATATGTTAAACAAAAATACTGGAATATACCTCCTTCATATAATCAGCCACATGTTCCCCCAAATTAATGACGTTATTTTCTTTTTTCAATAAAGTTAATTTGCATTCAACGTTCGTAAGTTAAGCAAAAAGTACCTATTGATACAAATAGAAAGACATGAAAATAGTATGTCTAACATTTCAGTTGTTTTTTTTTTTTTATTTATTTTTTGTTTTTTTGTTTTTTCAATAAAACAAATTGACTGGGACTAGAATCATCGTATCTCTGAAGACAAAAGCTAAGTTTTTTGATACAGAAATACTAATATATTCATCCTTTATATAATCAGGGAGATGTTGACCCAAATATTGATGTATATTTTCTCTGTTCGCCCAAATTAATGATGGTATTTTCTTTTTTCAATAAAATTAATTTACATTCCACGTTCTTAAAGCAATATTTTCTCCAAAATTCAGCAAAAAATAACAATTTATACCTACGCAAAAAGTAAATAAATAAATAAAGCAATGACATGAAAGTAGTATAGGTAGTACACATCTAACATTTCGGTTACATCTATTTGAATGAAAAAAATGGCAACTTAGGAAGCACATAGGTCACTTATCGACGGTGAAACTACCAAACCACGTATCTCGGTTTGCGACGTCGCAGACTTCCTGTCATACTTTATTTTTTAAATGAAAAGCTACTTAACGTCCAGTCTTGAAAATTTCCGTGATTTTTCCTCTTCGTGCGGAGAAAATTCTGTGAAAATTTCAAGGAATGATATTGATTTGGTCTACTTCAAAAAAATAAAATGTGAGCGGAGATTTTTAAACACCGCAAACGAGATACGTGGTTTGGTAGTTTCACCGTCGTTATGATGCGTATTCGGGCATATGCGTAGAGTAAAAATATCATACTTTACGCCGAAAAAACGAAACTGAAAGTTAAATGCGTTAACTTCCAAAAACCATACATAATCCAACGAAAATAAATAATTGGTAAATAACAGCTTTCTTGTATGCAAAGAAAAAAAATTAAAAATGTTAAAAAAGAGATGTCGACACAAAATTACATAGCCCCTTCAATTCTGAAGATACTACAAACGAACTGTACCTTAAAATTTTCATATCCCAGAAGCAAAAGTTCCCATGACGAATATTGCTATCGCTAGCGATTGCAAAAACCAACTTGTTTATTTTTTAAGTGTACTGTTTCATAACGCCACTTTGATCATCCTGTACTGGACCCTGCATTATTGAAGGCGCTGTGAGCAACTATTCAAACTTGAAGGAGCGCATATTGCTTGCTCAAATATTGAAGGAGTTTTAATGGTCCAAGGAGGCAATGTCAAATACGAAGTCCACTAATACTTTTGTTCCTTGTTCAAGGACCCTGTAGCAAACATAATAAAATATTTAAATGTTTCTCTAAAACAGACCAAAGGGCGTATCGTAGGATTTGTTTTTGGAAATGCTTCAAATTCGAAGATAAAATTGCTAATAATGTCAAAATGCACATAATAAAGGGTATTTCTTTTAATAAGAAAATTAAACAAAATAAATAAAATGCAAAGATGAAAATTGACGTTCTTGCCCCCGCAGTATTTTGAATCACTGATCCCGAGCCTCTCAGAGGAAAAATGATTCAAACTGGTAATGTAGCGTCACGCCAAAGATGTTGGACATCATGCTCGCTCACTCATAGAACAGTTTGTAACGTTTTTCTTCGCAAAGTAGGTAAATATAAGCACTGCGCTCAGTAATTTTGAGTTTACAAATTTTCTGATGCTTTCACGATTTTAAGCACATGTTTAGTGCTTGTTGTTTCCAACTTGATTATTGACAGGGGGATTTGAAGTTTAAACAATTCCAAAATGACTGTTTCTTGCCGTCCTAAATGGCTGAAGTTACAAAATCTAATAAAGGCTGAAAACATGAAGAAGATTAAAACTTTAATTTTTTTCAGTTCAAAATAGATGAAAATACTATCAAAAACCCGTGATGTTCTACTATAAAATTTAATAATGCGTGCAAATGAATGGGATCAAAAGGAGCTAATCGTCTCGCAAATCTTTAAGCACATATGTTCTTATCAGATAACTCTTTTTTACGTACTTCCTTCCAGCGTGAATAGTCCAACTTGTAAGTTGACCTTCTTTAATATTGTGATGTTCATATCTCGTTTTGCATGAAGCTTCAACGAAGAAATACACCCAATTGTACTTGAGTTTTAATATTATTTAACGGCTCATTTTTATTCAGAGCATCATTAATTATCTTTTGTTATCTCATTTATCTGCTTTGATTTTACGACAAAGGTTTGAAAATTCGTAAATATTCATGATCAATTTTGCCGATGCATTAAAAATTATTTTTTCCGTGTAATATTACCTACCTACTCTCCTTAATGACGACTAAAGTTAAAACAAAAGGAAATGTCCATTTTTCTTGAATGAAGGCGAAACTATTCAAACTCTCCGGAACACAATTTGCCTTTGTTAAAAAAACTATAAGCATTTTTAAAGTGATGATCAGACGAGGCTGAAGGAAAACTCAAAAAAACTTCCAATATTCTTTTTAAGGACTTTCCAAGTCACTATCGAAACTTATTGCGTGCATCAGAGGGTACATTAGAAGAAGAAGAAAAATACAGGGGGAAAAATTGGAACAAAAAAGTAATTGCGTCAATCTATTTTATTTGGAAATCGACTCGATGAACCGTGGGTTGAGGTTCACTTCTTATCGGCACCTTCCACAGGAGCAGGAACCAGAGGCAGAGCAGGAACCAGAGGCAGAGCAGGAACCAGAGGCAGAGCAGGAACCGGGTCCAGCAGGATATTCACCCCAGACTCCGTACTCGGAGGCTCCAGCGGAGGCGGCGGCAGCAGCAGAGGTGGAAGCAGCAGCGTAGGCGGAGGCAGCGGAGGCGGCGGAGGCGGAATCGTAGGCGGGGGCGGCGACCTCCTCAACGACGACGGCGGGTGCACCGGGGAACTCGTTGAAGACGGGGGTGGCGTACTCGTCGACGACGACCGGGGTCTGGGTGAAGACGTTGAGGGCGGCGCCCTTGCGGTGCTTGAGGATGTAGGGCTTCTCGAAGTAGTTGAGCTCCTGCGGGGCGGCCACGTGCTCGAGCACGGCCGGCGACTGCGAGCCGAACGTCACCGGACTCGGGAGCACCGACTGGAGCACCGTCGGCGTGATCTCCGGCAGGGGCGCCCGCGGGCAGGACATCCCTCCGCGGGGCGAGAGACCCCCGGCTCCGGCGTGGCCGTGGTAGTGCGGGAACGGGTTTCCGGCGGCCAGCTGAAGGCAGGCGAGGACGGCAGCGAAGAAGAAAGCCATTGCGATTCGAGGTCTACGATAGTGCTAGATGAGACGAATGGGAATGATGAATTTTCCAAACCCGGATTCGGTTTTTATACCTACTTCACCGAAAAGAAATAGATGGATCCTAATCTAGATTCCGTTTACCTTGATTTTTATTTGTCCTCATCGAAGTTTGCAGGATTTTTTTTACTGATTTTCAAGAATAGATTAAGATGCGAGTGCAATACCCGATTTTGCGGTGTACAGTCGAAGCAAATATGAGCAGTAATCGGATGATGTTCATTGACCTCCACTTCTTATCAAATCTAATGGTTCGGAATGAGAGGGATAGTGGATATTCGACTCCAAAATTTTGCTTGTTTATAAGTGCATTTGTTGGGAAGGTGGGAAATCAATGCTCATCCGAGATCTTGATTGTAGCAGCGCCGCACGCTTGACCCTAAAAGCGATCTGCAGTCCGCAGGTAATCTGAGCTGTAAGCACTTAGACTAGAAGCATTGAATATCGTCAAAAAAGTCGGCGGTTATGTGTATTTGATTTGCGGAGGAAAGCAGACTGGTGTGCTGGGTGTCTTATTACTCGTTACCTGTAAAATTAAGGTGAATATGACTTCATTTGGATCGGTCCTGATCGCAATGTCTTGTTTTGTCGGAGGTGATTTCGATCTTTTTTTCAGTAAATGCTTCCCCATAAGTCGCATTTCTTGCAGACCAGACTGATTTGCGGTGTTAGCTTAATTTAATCAGCCAGTTCAATTAATTAATAGTATGGTTGAATGAAGAAAACTGGGTTTTGATTTAGGCGTTACTGCTGTCTTAATTGGATAGCTTTATACAATAAGGAACTAGGGTCAAATTTTCGATTTTTTTTTATGATGAATTCCGTATCAGGTGGGTATTTACTTACTATTGAGAAAAAGAAAATCCTCAAAAACGATTCTTATCCCGCTTCAGCGACCCCGCAAAAATTTGCCGTCGCAGGATCATGCGAGGTTCATTTTGCGATTGGGACCTATACTATGGTTCCCTAGCAGTCCCCACCAATCAGAAATGGATTCACATTGTCTCGACTCTCAGTATAAAGGGACTCTAAAGTAGTCCAATTAAACAAATAACCACGTTAATACACGAGGAAAATTACAGTTAATAGCTGGAAAATCGTAGTTTTCATCTGGTGCACTTAGCGCCCGGTACTTAGGATAAAATCCTCATCCCTCATCCCTCATGCAGCAACGCCATTTAGCGGGATGGCGCGCGGTAAAAATCCCTCGCAAATTTTTCGCGAATATTTACCTCGGAGCTCCCGCGCATTTTTATGGGATCCCACGGGAGCCGGGCGGGTGAGCGTTTCCAAGGGGGTGGGGGGTGAGGACGTGTCGGGGATGGCTCAGCGAAGTCGGGGGAGGGGAGGGGGCACCGGAGCCCCACGATGGGGTGGGGGGAGGGTAGGAAAGCATTAAACACTCCATTTGCGCGGTGTCTGCTGCATGGCTGCCTGTTGCGGTGTGCAGCGCAGCGCAGGAGTCCGTCTTCGCGGCTGCGGGAGCTTTAATGAATGGCTGCAATATTGACTGAGAACCCATTATGACTGCCGGAATAAACGCGGCAACCCAAGTAATTAAACTTAAATATTTAGCCGCTCCACCGTTGCTGCATCTTCTGCCTCTGCGGCGAGGCTAGGCGTTTCATCGCGCGTCTTCAACGCTGCGGCGCGACGCGACGGGCTGCTTCGGGTACTTCGTTTATGACTTCCTTCGAAATTCAAAAGTCGTCACACCCTAAAAAGCTGTATAGTGGCGAGGCGTGAACGAAGAAATTATTTTGACGCGTTTCCGATCCGTGAACCAAGTGGTGGGACCTGAGAATGGAACGAGTTGGTTCCAAAATGGCCAGCGACGAGGAAAAACGTAATCAAAACATTTCAAGGAGTTTGGGATAATACAAGGGTACACTAAACGAAAGTTTTGACAAATTTTACTCTATCGACAGCACTGAAAAAAAATTCTCGGCGTTTTTACCACGGTCCGTTGTTACCTTTACCATCTCACTTTTTTTTACCAATTATTGGTAATTTTACCAAGACAGGCTGGTAAGCTTACCTAAAAACCGGTATATTTACTGTTTTTTCAGGTAAGAATACCACTTTTATTGGTAATCAATTCCCGGTGACTTTACTATTTTATGTCGGTAATTCTACCACAGTCGATAAAAAATATTGGCGTTTTTACCGAGGTCCAGTAAAATTACCGAGAAAGTTCAATAATTTTACCTAGATTTCTCGGTAAAATTACCAATTCCATAAATGGTAATTTTACCAAGAAAAACTGGGATCAAATAGAACCCCGAATTCTTTGTAATTTTACCCTTTTCCTAGTAAATACACCGATATTTTTTCCCAGTGTTGAAGCTGTGGTGAAGAAGCGATTATTCGTCGTCTCCCGCACGAAGGAACGTAACTCCAATCCAAGGTTGCCAAATTGACTTCAACAATTAATTTATTTTACAAAAATGTAAGTGTGCAATTAATATCCAAATTTGTCTGATTTTTGCATGAAATCGGAAGAAAAATCAGGGAAATTTTCAGTTAGTAATGCCCAATACTTTTCTGGTTAAAATGCAATTTACGAAAGGAAATTTGGCAACATTGAAATGTAGTTACGTTCTTTCGTGAGGACAACGACGTATTAAGGTGTTCGTTGCGGACACCCTGTTTATCGATCCTTTGCCATTAGTTTAAATGGCAGATCAATCGATAGATTGCAAAGAAAGCCACGCTAACGGTACCTTGTCAACTGAAATAACTCACAGCTCCCATCTCAATCGATTTCCTGGGAGCTATGATACATCTAACCCTAGGAAAAATCAAATTTTTGAAATCGAGTTTCCTTCAAAATTCGTTTAAACTAATTTAGGTGAGATTACTGATTCAGCTATAACAAAGGAATATTTGTCTTATTCATAAAAATGAGATATCTTAAAAAACCCTAAGTGCGTAACAGCCCTTTAATGAGTAATACTGAGATAGAGCGAATGAGAGCTGTACATTTAAGGAAAATTGTGCCCTTCTCTGATCTTACCTTTTTTCGTCGTGTTCAAAACGCAACCATGAAATAGCACATACGGCTGCTGTCTTGCCATTTTGCCTAACATTAGCCTAACATGAAAATGAAAAATACCCCATTTACATCGTTGAAATAACATTGGTATATTCTGTATCACCAAAACGATTTCTGAGAGTCTTTCACATGAAACTTCAGTAGTGATTTGACAAAAAACGGAGGCTTCTCTCAATATAATTTTCCACTCAGGCGCTACTGGTCCCATTTTCTCAAAACTTCCTTTTCGCATTTACGGCTCTCTTCGCTCTCACACCGTCGCATCCATAGTCGTTCATTAAGGTGATTCGATGGACGCCATATTTTGGGTCAGAACGGTGGTTTTTTCAACGAGAAAACATCGCATCCGATACTGATATTGAAACTGCACTCGAATGCGATATTTCCTCTCTAAAAAAGTCACGCCTTTATTACGTTGAATTTCTTTGTTAAAATTGGTAAGTGGGTGCCTTAGTCTCCTGACAACAGAATTGCGATCTCAAAATTGGAGAAAAATGACGAGTAGCTGAAAAAATGGAACCAATTGATGCGATATATCGCATGCCGATCTGACACAAAATATGGCGTCCATCGAATCACCTTAAACAGCACATTTCCTCAGGAAGTCTCATAGCGACGGTGAAACTGCAAAAATGCATAGTTTGGCTGCGGTGTTTCAAAATCTCCGCTCCTATTTTATTGTTTTATAGGAGACCGAGCCAACACTATGGCTTGAAGTTTTCACAAAGTATGCCTCATCAGACGAAGAAAATCTCCCCAAATTTTATAAAAACGACGTTCAGTAGTTTTTTTATGTAGAAAATCAAGTATGACAATCAAGTATCACGGCTATATGAGCCAGGCGCTGGAAAAGTTCATCTGGATACCACTGAAAGATCGATGTGTATCGTTTATCCGTGACGTACGGCACTCATAACGTCTATTGAGAGAACCCGACACGGATGATGAAGAGAGGTCGTAAGTACGGCATAATGACGGTGAGCCTTTGATTAAATGATAATTTGGCTGTCAGTCGACGATTAGCGATTTATCATGACCACCTGTGGCGTGCCGAGCGGGTTGCGGCCTTGGCGTGGTCAGGCGTTACGAGAGGGCTTCGTGTACCGTGCCTCTTCATCGCGGAGTTGCCTCTCCTGTCTACCTGTTGCCTGTAGCCCTGAGTGTCTGCTTGACGAGTGAATTAATGTGGGATAGACCCGAGGGGTTTAGAGTGAATTTGTTGCTTTATTTCCTGAATGGGTCAGTTGCGCAGGTCACAAAATCGTGTTTCGATGCTTGATTCCTGCAGATCAGCGAAAAATAATAAGATGTGTTCACACTGGGAAAAAAAAACACATTGGATCTAGAGTCCAGACTCTTGAAAACATTGACAAGAAAAAATACTCTTGATTCAATCGGATTTTTGCTTGAATCAAAACGAAATCCGCTTAAAAGAGGCTTGGTTCTTGATTTAAATTAGATTCTGATTAAATCAATTTTCGTTGATCAAATCAAGATCAATCAAAATCGGATTTCGTTTTGATTCAAATAATAATGGAGATGTTGCATGTGTGACGAATTTGCGATTTGACTATTACTTTCAACGTAAAATTTCGCGAGAAGCACGATGGTACCACTGTTTTTTTCTGAAATCAACTCCCAAGCTCAAAAAGAGATCTCAAGTTGAGGAGGATTGGAGGGGATATCCCACGCTATCCTGAGAGTCCACCTCTACATCAAGACAAACTCTCCATGCAAAGATAGGGAGCAAGTACATTAGCAGGGTTGCCGTGTTTTCAGTTTTGGAGTCCCCAAATAAAGTGGCAGCCCTGTCAATGTATATGTATTTGCTCCCTATCTTTGCATGGAGAGTTTGTCTTGATGTAGAGATGGACTCTCAGGATAGCGTGGGATATCCCCTCCATTTTGGCCTCAACCTGAGAGCTTTCTTTGAGCTTGGGAGATGATTTTAGAGAAAACCAGTGGCACCATCGTGTTT